AAGAAACAGACAACTTTCTAGAAAAATGCAACCTTCCAAGGCTGACCCAGGAAGAAACCGAAAATCTGAATAGACCAATTACCAGCAACAGAATTGAACTGATAATCAAAAAATTACCTAAGAACAAAATGCCTGGGACAGATGGTTTCACTGGTGAATTTTATCAAACATTTAGTGAAGATCTAATACCCATCCTCCTTAAAGTTTTCCAAACCGTAGAAGAGAAGGGAATACTTCCAAACTCATTCTATGAGACCAGCATCACTCTAATACCAAAACCAGGCAAAGACACCACAAAAAAAGAAAATTACAGACCAATATCCCTGATGAACATAGATGCAAAACTGCTCAACAAAATATTAACAAAACATGTTAAAAAATACATCAAAAAGATCATCCATCATGATCAAGTAGGATTTATTCCAGGGATGCAATGATGGTATAACATTTGAAAATCCATCAACATCATCCATTACATCAACAAAAAGGACAAAACCACATGATCATCTCCATAGATGCTGAAAAAGCATTTGACAAAATTCAACATCCATTCATGATAAAAAATCTTAACAAAATGGGTATAGAGGGCAAGTACCTCAACATAATAAAGGCCATACATGACAAACCCACAGCCAACATCATACTTAATAACAAGAAGATTGAAGCTTTTCCTTTAAGATCGGAAACAAGACAAGGATGTCCACTCTCCCCACTTTTATTCAACATAGCTCTGGAGGTCCTAGACCTGGCAATCAGACAACACAAAGAAATAAAAATCATCCAGATTGGCAAGGCAGAAGTTAAACTGTTCCTGTTTGCCGATGAACTGGTAATACATAAAAAACCCTAAATAATCCACTCCAAAACTACTAGAATAATATCTGAATTCAGCAAAGTTGCAGGATACAATGTCATTACACAGAAATATATTGCATTCCTATACACTAACGATGAACTAGCAGAAAGAGAAATCAAGAAAAACAATTCCATTCAAAATTGCATCAAAAAGAAAAAAATACCTAGGAATAAACCTAACAAAGGAAGTGAGAGACTTATACCCTGAAAATTACAGGACACTCATGAGAGAAATTACAGATACCAATAAATGGAAACACACCCTATGCTCATGGATAGGAAGAATTAATATTGTCAAAATGGCCATCCTGCTTAAAGCAATCTATAGATTCAATGCAATCCCTACCAAATACCAACAGCATTCTTCACTGAACTATAGCAAATAGTTCTAAAATTCATATGGAACCATAAAAGACCCTGAATAGCCAAAGGAATCCTGAGAAGGAAAAATAAAACAAGTGGGACTATGCTCCCTGACTTCAAGCTCTACTACAAAGACACAGTAATCAAGACAATTTGTTATTGGCACAAGAACAGACCCATAGACCCATGGAACAGACTAGAGAGCCCAGATATAAACCCACACATATATGGCCAATTCATATACAATAAAGGAGACATGGATATACAATGTGGAAATGACAGCCTCTTCAAGAACTGGTGTTGGCAAAACTGGACAGCTACATGTAGGAGAATGAAACTGGATTATTATCTAACCCCATAAAGAAAAGAAATTCAAAATGGATCAAAGACCTGAACATAACTCATGAAACCATAAAACTCTTAGAAAAAACTCTTGAATATAAACATGAACAACTTTTTCCTGAATGCATCTCCTCAGGCAAGGGAAACAAAAGCAAAAAATGAACAAATGTAACTACATTAAGCTAAAATCTTCTATACAGCAAAGAACACCATCAGCAGAACAAAAAGGCATCCTACAGTATGGGAGAATATATTTGTAAACAACATATCCAATAAGGGCTTAACACCCAAATATATATAAAGAACTCACATGCTTCAACACCCAAAGAGCAAATAACCCAATTAAAAAATGGGCAAAGGATATGAAGAGACAGTTCTCCAAAGAAGAAATTCACATGGCCAACAGACACATGAAAAGATGTTCCACTCTGCTAAGTATCAGAGAAATTCAAATTCAAGCCACAATGAGATATCACCTCACACCAGTTAGGATGGCCACCATCCAAAAGACTAGGAACAACAAACGTTGGTGAGGATGAGGGGAAAGGGGAACCCTCCTACGTCGCTGGTGAGAATGTAAAAATAGCTCAACAATTGTGGAAAGCAATATGGAGGTTCCTCAAAAAGCTCAAAATAGAAATACCATTTGACCCAGGAATTCCACTCCTAGGAATTTACTGAAAGAAAACAACTTCTCAAATTCAAAAAGACATATGCACCCGTATGTTTATTGCAGCACTATTTATAATAGTCAAGATACGGAGGCAACCTAAGTGTCATCAGTAGATGAGTGGATAAAGAAGGTGAGTGTCATCAGTAGATGAGTGGATAAAGAAGAATCATTTTACACACAATGGAATACTATTCAGCTGTAAGAAAGAAAGAAATCCTAACTTTTGCAACAAACATGGATGGAGCTAAAGGGTATTATGTTCAGTGAAATAAGTCAGGCGGAGAAAGACAAATACCAAATGATTTTCCTCATTTGTGGAGTATAACAACGAATCAAAAGTGAAGGAACAAAACAGCAGCAAATTCAGTCTCCAAGAAGGGACTAGCAGTTACCAAAGGGGAGGGGTGGAAGAGGGTGGGTGGGGAGGGAGGTAGAAGGGGATTGTGGGGTATCATAATTAGTGCACATGGTGTGTGTGGGGTCACAGGGAAGACAGTGTAGCACAGAGAAGACAAGTAGGGACTCTGTGGCATCTTACTACACTGATGGACAGTGACTGCAATGGGGTATGTGGGGGAACTCAATAATAAAGGTGAATGTAGTAATTACATTGTTTTTCTTGTGAAACCTTCATAAAAGTGACACCTTAATAAAAAAATTAAGTAAAACAAAATAAATAAAATACATCTACTAGTAAATTTAAAAAAAAAGACCATATATCAACTATACTACAATTTAAAAAAAGAGTATCAGAGGCTGATATTCCTGGTAACAGTGCAACACAATCATTGAGTTTGGTTATAGATGACTGTATGTCAAAAATAAGGAAAAATCAAAATGCTAAAAAAAACCCAATGACCTTTCAAAAAAATCTGTGACAAAAAAGTCAAACTTCAGACATACTATTATAACATACTGAATGATTTCTGTGGATGTCAAAGCTAAATATCACTACATAATGTGTAGAAATCTGTAATTTTAAAGCATGATATCTGATAAATCATCATCACATATCTCTTCCTTGAAATCTAACAATCTAACATGAATTAGATTCCATAAAGACCTATTTTCTAGCCACTGCTTGCTTATATGTTGATGTTCAACTACATCACTGCATGGGAAAAGTTGTTTATGCAGTTTGCTAAAGAGCTCAGTAGCTCTCTAGAGACAGAACAAAGCACTCCATGATTAGTGCACATGGTGTGTGTGGGGTCACAGGGAAGACAGTGTAGCACAGAGAAGACAAGTAGGGACTCTGTGGCATCTTACTACATTGATGGACAGTGACTGCAATGGGGTATGTGGGGGAACTCAATAATAAGGGTGAATGTAGTAATTACATTGTTTTTCTTGTGAAACCTTCATAAGAGTGATACCTTATCTGCTAAGAATCATAAAGCCTGATTGAAAGAATTTTATTAGCTGTGGAAAAGTGATTCTACATGCTGATGGGGAATACATTGTCAACTGTCTTGTCACAGGGCCTTTTTCACCTGTGGGACATATGACTGGTACCCTAATGCTAGCTCTGGAGGTTACAAGCCCCTCCAATGCAGTCAGGCAAGCACACTGTGGGTGCAGAAGGCCTACTGTAGTCAGAAGCCCAGCTAGGAATCCAAGTTTTATGCTGCTTTCCAGGACCAAGGTTCGGGACACCCACCAGTAATGGAAGATATAAAAAAAATTCGTATCCCTCTTCCACTTCCCACCCAGGATTAACTATGTGGCAATCTGTTTGCATTTTGTGCTTCCTGACCCTCACTTTCAGGGTATACCACTGTAAAGGGCTATATATACTAGGAATGTGAAAAGAGCAACAGCAGTGAGCCATGTGCCTTGAAACTATGAGGTAAGACTTATCAAGCCACGTCACAGGCAAGTAGCAAAAAGGAAAACAGAAATGTCAGAGAAAAGTCCTCCCAAAATTCACTTAACAATATTGGCAAATCACTTGAATATTTATAACTTTCTAGGCTCTACAATGCAAGAAATCATGTGTTACTGTTTTTGTGCCATTTAGAAGCAGTCCTGTGTCGTGGGGAGATGAGAAAGGGCAGTAGGTATCAAGAGGTAATTAATCTGCTTTTAGCTGTGAAACCACAATGTCCTACAATGTTAACTGCAGTCTTGAAAAGCTGGATATTAAAAGGCAGAAATGCTGAAAGTATCTCAATTGTCATCACTCTATAAGCAATGGAGATCAGAGAGAATGTCTCAATCGTCTTGCTAGCTCCCAGCACCCCTGGCACAGTGCCTCACACCTGACAAGCAGTGGCAAACACACATGGCACTGAATTTTCTGCATGAGTATTCATTCCCTGTCTCTTGATCCTTCTTTCCAGTGTCTCTTCTTTTCCCACCTCAGCAGTTATTTATTCCTTATCTTCTGTCAACTGTGGCTTAACTGATAATTTAGACAACATGAAATAATATTACATTGTATTTATTGGAACAGAATTTTTGGTTCACTTTTTTAATTGGAAAAGTAAATGTCAGGAACAGTATTTTTTTATTCCCTAAAATACTTTGCAAATTAAATTATGTGATTAGCATCCATTGACAGAATTAAGTTCCTTAATCCTATAAAGATGTGCTGCTTTCTGCTATATTAAGGATTTTTTAAAAATTTGTGCTGTACTCTTTTGATGATTACCTAAAGTGAAGAAACAGTATTTTCCACAATTGGCTATAAAAAGTAACAAAGAACTACCCTGGTGTGTATACTTTGAAAATAGAAAATTAATATTCAATGGAAAAAGCCACATACTTTTCATAGTTCCGTCGTCTTCTTCCTCATCCTCACTGTTTATAACCATGGTCCCCAGGTCGGATTCTAACATAGTGCTGCTGTGCTCGATCATGGTCTGGGCCCCTTCGCTCATCGTGCTCGTGGCCCTCATTGTGCCGGCACTTTCTGAACTGGTCTTCACCATGGTGTGGGAATCCAGCTCATCCTCATCCTGCAAAGCAAAATACTGCAGTGAAGAAAGACTTCTAAGACAGCTGGAGTTCTTAATTCTTCACAACAGTATGAGCATGTTATACTTCTAATAATGAAAAAACGATACTGTTAACTAATTTTAATATCAGGACACATATATAAATGTTACCATAAGAGCCAAAGTCATCCAAAACAAGCTAAAGCTTTAAGCAATTAAAGCTCAAGCAACAGAAATTGATGAACTGGCTGCTAGTTGTTTTTAAAATAAGGATTAAGATAGGTAAACTTTCAACAAATGCATAACTAAGGGTATGCGACAAAGTAAACATAAAAAAGCACCTTAAAGATAGAACATGTTGGCACTATTGTAACAGCCATAAAAATGTTGCACAATGGCCATTAGCTTTTTAAAAATTGTGATAAATACACATTTACCATTTTAATCATTTGTCAGTGTATAGTTCTGTGGCACTAAGTACATTCACAGTGTTATGCAATCTTTACTGACTGACATCCATTTCCAGAACTTTTTTATTATCCCAAGTAGGAACTCTGAACCTGTTAAAAAATAACTCCTCATTCCTCCCTCCCACAATCTCTGGTAACCTCTATTCTACTTTCTGTCATTATGAATATGTCTATTCTAGTTATCTTTTATAAATAGAATCATGCAATATATGGCCTTTTTTGTCTGGCTTAGTTCACTTAGCATAATGTTTTCAAGGTTCATTCACGTTGCTACATGTATCAGAATTTCATTTCTTTTTAAGACTTAATATTCCATTACACACACATACACACACACACACGCACATTTTGTTTACCCATTCATTTGTTGACGGACATTAGGTTGCTTATATACCTTTTGGATATTATGAATAATGCTATGACAATGATGTACAAGTATCTATGTTTAAGTCCCTGCTATCAATTTTTGGCAGGGGGTACATACTTTGAAGGGCAGTATAATACCATATGGTACTTCTATTTTTAATTTCTTGAGGAGCTTCCAAATTGTTTTCCATAGTGGTTACACCATTTTACAGTCTCACCAACAGTGCACAGGGCTCAAAATTCTCCACATCCTTGCCAATACTTACTACTTTCTCTTTTTATGATGTAACAGCCATCCTAAAGGATATGTGGTATCTCACTGTGGTTCGATTTGCATTTCTCTAATGACTGGTGAGGTTGAACACCTTTTCATGTGCTTATTGGGCATTTGTGTATCTCCTTGGGAGAAATGTCTATGCAGCTCCTTGGTGTATTTTTGTTATAAGTTGCTTTTAGTTCTTGATTACAGGAGTTCATTATATATTCTGGATATTAGTCTCTCATCAGATACATGATTTATCAGTATTTCTACCCATTTTGTAGTTTGTCTTTTCACTCTCCTGATAGTTTCTTTGATGCAAAAGTTTTTAACTTTGATGAAGTACAATTTATCCATATTTTATATCATTACCTGTGCTTTTATAATATCTTAGCCAATTAGAATGCTTTTAAATGTAAATTCACAGAATCAAATCAGTAATATAAGTGAAAAAAATGCTCTTTAGAATATTCACCAAAAGATAAACAAGGATAGGGCCATAAAAATAAACTAACAAAATCTGTTTGAGAGACCAAATAATCTCCTATTTGAAAAACACTTGATCATACCCTGAAATTTATTTATATCTATTCTGCTTTAAGTAGAACAAGCAAGCAAAACCTAGTTCTGACAAAGATCAAAATGCAAATACAGAGAACAGGAATATCCATGTTGTTCTCAGCTGTTCGATAGCCTTCCTCCTCCTAAACCTACATGATAGATTCAGCACTGTATCTCAGGGTTTTTTGCTCTTCTTTCATGACCTCTTTTTTAGAAGACTCTGTCTTTCTTATGCCTTCAGCTATGTACAGACGCACCTTGTTTTATTGTGCTTTGCTTCACTGAGCTTCATAGATACTAAGTGTTTTTATAAATTGAAAGTTTGTGGCAACCTCTATGTCAAGCAGGTTTATCAGGGCCATTTTTCTAACAGCATCTGCTCACTTTGTGTCTCTGTGCCACATTTCAGTAATTCTCACAATATTTCAAACCTTTACATCATTGTTATATTTTTATGGTGAACTGTGATCAGTGATCTTTGATGTTACTATTGTAATCGTTTTGGGGAACCACAAACCCATGCCCATATAAAACAGTGAACTTCATTAATAAATGTTGTGTGTGTTCTGACTGCTCCACTGACCAGTCACTCCCCCATCTCCTCTCCTTGGGCCTTCCTAGTCCCAGAGATACGACGATATTGAAATTAGGCCAATTAGTAACCTTACAATGGCTCACGTGGTCAAGTGAAAGGAAGAGCAGCACATCTCTCTTTAAATCAAAAGCTAGAAATGATTAAGCTTAGCGAGGAAGGCACATTGAAGCCAAGACAGGCTGGAAGCTGGGCCTCCTGCACCAAACAGCCAAACTGAGAACATAAAGGAAAAGCTCTTGAAGGACATTAGAAGTTAATACTCCAGTGAAGTCAAGAAGGATAAGAAAGTGAAAAAGCCTTACTGCTGATATGAAGAAAGTTTTATTGGTCTGCATAGAAGATCAAACCAGCCACAACATTCCCTTAAACCAAAGCCTAACAGAGCAAAGCCCTAATTCTCTTCAGTTCCACAGAGGCTGAGAGAGGTGAGGAGCTACAGAGGAAAGTTTGAAGCCAGCAGGATGAAAGAAAGAAGCCATCTCCATAACATTTAAAGTGCAAAGTGAAACAGCAAATGTTGTGTAGAGGCTGCAGGAAGTTATCCAGATGATCTAGGTAACATCATTAAGGTGGCTAAACAACAGATTTTCAATGTAGACAAAATAGGTTTATACTGGAAGAAAAAAACACCTAGGACTTTCACAGCTAGAAGAGAAAAGTCAATGGCTGGCTTCAAAGGACAGGCTGCCTCTCTTCTTAGGGGCTAATGTAGCTGATGATGTTAAGTTGAAGCCAATGTTCATTCACCATTCTGATAATCCTAGGGCCTTTAAAATTTATGTACAATCTACTCTGCCTGTGCTTTATAAATAGAACAACAAAGCTTGGATGATAGCACAACTGTTTATAACATTTACTGAATATTTTAAGTCCATTGTTTGTTGCGACCTACTGCTCAGAAAAAAAAGATGCCTTTGAAAATGTTACTGCCCATTGACAATGCACCTGGTCACCCAGGAGCCCTGATGGAGAAGGATAAGAGATTAATGCTATTTTCATGCCTAATACAACTTCAATTCTGCAGGCCATAGATCAGAGAGTCATTTTGACTTTCAAATTTTATTTTGGAAGAAATACATTTTATAAGACTACAGCTGCCTTAGACAGTGATTCCTCTGATGGATCTGGCAAAGTAAATTGAAAACCTTTTGTAAAGGATTTACCCTTCTGGCTGCCAGTAAAACATTCATGATTCATGGGAATAGGTCAAAATATAAACACTAACAGGAGTTTGGAAGTTGACTCCAGCCCTCATGGATGACTTTGAGAGGTCCAAGACTTCAGCAGAGGAATTAACTGCAGATATGGTGGAAATAGTAAGAGAACTAGAATCAGAAGTGGAGCCTAAAGAAGTGACTAAATTGCTGCAATCTCATGATAAAACGTGAACAGTTAAGGAGTTGCTCCTTATGGATGAGCAAAAAAAGTGGTTTCTTGAGATGGAATCTACTTTTGGCAAATATGCTGTTCAGATTGTTAAAATGACAACGACAGGATTTAAATTACCACATGAACTTAGCTGATGAAGCAGCAGCAGAGTTTGAGAGGGTTTACTCCAGTTTGAAAGAAGTTCTACTTTGGGTAACATGCTATCAAACAGCATTATATGCTACAGAGAAATCTTTTGTGAAAGGAAGTCAACTAATGTAACAAACTTCATTGTTGTCATATTTTAAGAAATTGCCATGGCTGCCCCAGCCTTCAGCAACCTCTGATCAATCAGCAGCCATCAACATTAGAGGAAGACCCTCCATCAGCAAAAACATTAGGACTCACTGAAAGCTCAGATGACAGCATTTTTTAGCAAGAAAGTATTTTTAAATTAAGGTATCTGTGGTTTTTTTTAGACATAACGCTATTGCACACTTAATAGACTACAGTATCATGCAAACATAACTTTTATATGCCCTGGAAAATCCAAAAGTTCATCTGACTCCCTTTACTGTGATACTTCTGTATTACTGTTATTGTGGTATCTCTGAAGGATGCCTGTCTTGTGTTGAGGACTCCCAAATCCTGAAATCTTCCTTAGTTTACTTACTGTTTGAATGCTTAATGATGTTTAAAACTCGACAACCCCAAATCAAATTTATTTCATCCATCCTTTTAGCCCCTCCTGTCTGCTTCCATCCCCCACACACAACAACCACCACAAAGCAGTAATCTTCATTAACAGTCTGAGAGTAAAATTTCAATGTCTTATTAAGTTTATTCTCTCTTTCATTCCCTACACACAATCAGTCAACAAGTTCTTCAAAAAATTCTCTCTCAGTTCCATCTCTTCCCTTCATTCCCACTGTGACTGAGTAAATTCCTCAGTGACCTCATACCGGGGTTACTGCAGGAAAAGCTTACTGAGTGAAAACTCTCTCCCACCCTGATCCTCTATGATCAGATGAGTGTTAGTCCAAATCCTGGCTCCAATCACTTGCTAGACATAGAATTTTAGGCAAACTATTCAAACTCTCTGAACTTTAGCTTCTTTCATTGGTGTTATGATGATTAAATGAGAAAAGGAATGCAAAATGTCAGCATGCTACTAGGAACAAGGTAGTTTTAGGCTTTCTGCAAAGTACACACAGTAAGTACACCGATCTTTCTTGGATACTATCTGTATCACAATAGCCTTCTACTGAAGAATGCATAATGGCACCCAGTTCTTGCCTGCATTAAAAGCTACATGCTGCCTAGATTTTAATGTCTTCTATGTTTTTATTTTATCTGGCCAATCATATTTTCCATTGTTTCCATATCCTCACATATAGTCAGG